GATTTCTTCAGTGATCTCTTGGTGATTTAGTAACTTATTGTTTAGCCTCCATGTGTTTGCATTTTTTACGTTTTTCTCCCTGTAATTCATTTCTAATCTCATAGTGTTGTGGTCAGAAAAGATTCTTGATATGATTGCAGTTTTCTTAAATTTAGTGAGGCTTGATTTGTGACCCAAGATGTAATCTATCTTGGAGAATGTTCCGTGCACACTTGAGAAGAAAGTGTAATCTGCTGGTTTTGGATGGAATGTCCTATAAATATCAATTAAATCTATCTGGTCTATTGTGTCATTTAAAGCTTGTTTCCTTATTTATTTTCATTTTGTATGATCTGTCCATTGGTGTAAGTGAGGTGTTAAAAGTCCCCCACTATTATTGTGTTACTGTCGATTTCCTCTTTTATAGCTGTTAGTAGCATTTGCCATACGTATTGAGGTGCTCCTATGTTGAGGGCATATATATTTATAATTGTTATACATTCTTCTTGGATTGATCCCTTGATCAGTATGTAGTGTGCTTCTTTGTCTTTTGTAACATTCTTTATTTTAAAGTCTATTTTATCTGATATGAGTATTGCTACTCCAGCTTTCTTTTGATTTTTTTCTTTCTTTTTCCATCCCCTCACTTTCAGTCTGTATGTGTCCTTAGGTCTGAAGTGGGTTACTTTTAGACAGCATATATATGGGTCTTGTTTTTATATCCATTCAGCAAGCTTGTGTCTTTTGGCTGGAGCATTTAATCCATTCACCTTTAAGGTAATTATCAGTATTTATGTTCCTGTTACCATTTTCTTAATTGTTTTTTTTCGTTTGTTTGTTTTGTTTTTTTTGTGGTACGCGGGCCTCTCACTGTCATGGCCTCTCCCTTTGTGGAGCATAGGCTCCGGACGCGCAGGCTCAGCAGCCATGGCCCACGGGCCCAGCCGCTCCGCGGCATGTGGGATCTTCCCAGACCAGGGTACGAACCTGTGTCCCCTGCATCGGCAGGCGGACTCTCAACCACTGCGCCACTAGGGAAGCCCTTGGGTTTGTTTTTGTAGGTCCTTTTCTTCTCTTGTGTTTCCCACTTAGAGAAGTTCCTTTAGCATTTGTTGTAGAGCTGGTTTGGTGGTGCTGAATTCTCTTAGCTTTTCTTGTCTGTAAATCTTTTGATTTCTCCATCGAAGCTGAATGAGATCCTTTCTGGGTAGAGTAATCTTGGTTGTAGGTTCTTCCCTTTCATCACTTTAAATACATCGTGCCACTGCCTTCTGGCTTGTAGAATTTCTGCTGAGAAATCAGCTGTTAACCTTATGGGAGTTCCCTTGTATGTTATTTGTTGTTTTTCCCTTGTTGCTTTTAATAATTTTTCTTTGTCTTTAATTTTTGCCAATTTGGTTACTATGTGTCTCGGTGTGTTTCTCCTTGGGTTTAGCCTGCCTGGGACTCTCTGCGCTTCCTGGACTTGGGTGGCTATTTCCTTTCCCGTGTTAGGGAAGTTTTCGACTATAATCTCTTCAGATATTTTCTTGGGTCCTTTCTGTTTTCCTTCTGGGACCCCTATAATGTGTATGTTGGTGCGTTTAATGTTGTCCCAGAGGTCTCTTAGGCTGTCTTCATTTCTTTTCATTCTTTTTTCTTTATTCTGTTCTGCAGCAGTGAATTCCACCATTCTGTCTTCCAGGTCGCTCATCCTTTCTTCTCCCTCAGTTATTTTGCTATTGATTCCTTCTAGCGTATTTTTCATTTCAGTTATTGTATTGTTCACCTCTGTTTGTTTGTTCTTTAATTCTTCTAGGTGTTTTTTTCTTTCATTCTTCTAGGTCTTTGTTAAACATTTCTTGCACCTTCTCAATCTTTGCCTCCATTCTTTTTCAAGGTCCTGGATCATCTTCACTGTTATTATTCTGAATTCTTTTACTGGAAGGTTGCCTGTCTCCACTTCATTTAGTTGTGTTCCTGGGGTTTTATCTTGTTCCTTCATCTGGTATCTAGCCCTCTGCCTTTTCGTTTTGTCTGTCTTTCTGTGAATGTGGTTTTTGTTCCACAGGCTGCAGGATTGTAGTTTTTCTTGCTTCTGTTGTCTGCCTTCTGGTAGATGAGGCTATCTAAGAGGCTTGTGCAAGCTTCCTGATGGGAGGGACTGGTGGTGGGTAGAGCTGGGTGTTGCTCTGGTGGGCAGAGCTCAGTAAAACTTCCATCTGTTTGTCTGCTGATGGGTGGGGCTGGGTTCCCTCCCTGTTGGTTGTTTGGCCTGAGGCGGCCGAGCACTGGAGACTACAGGCTCTTTGGTGGGACTAATGTTAGATTCCGGTGGGGGGGGGGCTCATGCCAAGGAGTACTTCCCAGAACTTCTGCTGCCAGTGTCCTTGTCCCACCAGTGAGCCACAGCCATCCCCCACCTCTTCAGGAGACCCTCCAAGAATAGCAGGTGGGTCTGGTTCAGCCTCCTATGGGGTCACTGCTCCTTCCCCCTGAGCCCTGACACACACACTACTTTGTATGTGCCCTTCAAGAGTGGAGTCTCTGTTTCCCCCAGTCCTGTCAATATCCTGCAAACAAATCCCGTTAGCCGTCAAAATCTGAATCTCTGGGAATTCCTCCTTCCTTTGCCAGACCCCCAGGTTGGGAAGCCTGACGTGGTGCTCAGAAACTTAATTCAAGTGAGTGGACTTCTGTGGTGTAATTGTTCTCCAGCTTGTGAGTCACCCACCCAGCAGTTATGGGATTTGATTTTATTGTGATTGTGCCCCTCCTACTGTCTCATTATGGCTTCTCCTTTGTCTTTGGTTTGGGGGTATCTTTTTTGGTGAGTTCAAGTGTCTTCCTGTCGATGACTGTTCAGCAGTTAGTTGTGATTCCAGTGCTCTCGCAAGATGGAGTGAGTGCACGTCCTTTTACTCCACCATCTTGAACCTGCCTCTCTAATAAGCCTTGACATGAGGTAGAGTGATTCCTCCCACTTTATTCATTTTCAGAAAAGTTTTAGCTATTTTAGAATGTTCCTTTGCCATTCCATGTAAGTTTTAGAGTAATCTTTTCTGTATCTACAAAAAATCTTGCTGCGATTATGATAGGAATTGTGTTAAACTTGTACATTAATTTAAGGAGAATTGACATCTATATTATGTTGAGTCTTCCAGTCCGTAAATACAATATGTCTCTCCACTTACTTATATCTTTTTTGGTTTCCTTTATCAGTGTTTTGTAGTTTTTAGCTTGTAAGCCCTGTGCATGTTTTGTTAGATTTATATTTAAATGATACTGTATTTTTAATTTTGGTTTCTGTGTGTTCATTTATACAGTTGGTTTTTATATGTTGATCTTGTGACTTTGTTGAATTCACTTATTAGTTCTCAGATTTTGTTTTTTGTAGATTCTGTGAGATTCCCTGCATAGGTCATTATGTCATCTGCAAATAGCAATCGTTTTATGTCTTCCTTTTCTATCTTTATGCCTTTTATTTCCTTTTTTTTTTTGCCTTATCGCATTGGCTAGAACTTCCAGTATTATGTTGAATCGGAATAATGAGAGCAGACATATTTTTCTTGTTCCTCATTTAGTTCTTTCACCATTAAGTATATTCCAAACATTGCTTTGGAGGTTTTTTTGTAGATGTTCTTTATCAAGTTGAGGAAACTCTATTTCTAGTTTTCTAAGTGTTTTTATTATGAATGGGTGTTGAATTCTGTTAGATGATTTTTCTGCATCAATTATATGGTTGTGTGATTTTTTTTTTCTTCTTTAGCCTGTTAGATGATGGATTATATTGATTGATTTACCAGTAGTGAAACAGCCTTGCATCCATCTTGGTCATGGTGTACAATTCTTTTTGTATGTTTTTGAATTCTATTTGCTAATATTTTATTGAGGATTTTTATCTATATTCATGGTAGATATTGATCTGTAGGTTTCTATTTTTTGGTGCTATCTTTGGTTTCTGTGTTAGGTGGAAGATTGTGAACATCTTGAGGGAAGACAGTGATAATGACCACTAAGTCATGGACTTGGGGTATGGGAACATCAGAAAGAATCCAGGCGGGGAAAGAGAATCCAAGGAAGGGAAGTGGTGTTGTTTGGCTGGATACACTATTGCTTGGGTGAGTGTAGGGCAGTGTACTGGAACAGAGGGGTGAGGATGAAATCTGATTGTTATGGATGGAACAGTTACTGTAGTTGGTTTATGGAGGATCTTAGATAATAATGATGTGGTAGGGCTGGGAATATGTTGACTGTAGGGAAAAAAATTAATATAGGAGTGTTAGGGAATGAATACTGGAGACAGATCTTGGACCTGAAGGTGATGTGGACAGACCTTATGGAAAGATCAGTCTCAAGCAGGAAAGTGACCAGCTCTCTCTCGGACTTCTGGGAAGGAGGAGGGATTGATATGGAAAGCACGGGGTCCTTAGAAGTGATATTAACGTCTGGTCGTGTCTCTCCTTATGCTTTGTTTGGGAGGAAGGGCATATGCCTAAAACCAATGGAATCAGAGATCTGCACAGAAATGGGAGCAAGTACCATCTACTGACACTCTCTGTGGGGGTAGTTATGATGATACATCAGAGCTTCCTTTAGGTCCTTAGGCCAGTTTTTAGTTTTTATCTGTTTGTTTTTTGTTTCGTTTTTAACAGACCAATGATGACCACAGTTAAGACAGGTAAGTGTAGAAACTCTTCTTTGATTAAACTTCAAAATTGAGAAGTCATTGGACGTCCTTCTGGTCAGCTGCTCAGTTCTAGTCCTGTCCAGCATTCATCATGAGAGGGCCTTTGGCTCCATCCTTTGTTGAGCCAGAGAGCCACTGACCATCAGTTTGTAATCAGCAGTTCAGACAGTCTTCAGACCACTTCTGCATAATCTCTTCCAAAAAATAGAAGAAAAAAGAATACTCCCTAATTTCTTGTTATGATTCTGATACCAAAGTCAGATAAGGACTAGTTTCCATCCCTAGCAGCCGTTCCCTTCCTCATGCCTTCATATGCTGGCACTCAGGAAGCTGATTTCTGTTCTTATTGCAGCTGCAGTCGACTCCGCCAGGTTCAGAGCATCCTGACCCAGAGCAGCAAGTCTCAACCCGATGGAATCCTCTGCATACTAGGTCAGTGCTTTTAACAAGGTGGGACTCAGGGCTGGGACAACTTGGCTTCTGTTCACAGGAAGATATTAATAATAGTATCATCACTGTGAGATAAGCTGTGAGTTAGTATTCTTCTCCCAGCTTTTGTTCCCCTGAGATCTGTTGCTGTTTTAATGAGGTCAGGTGAGATATCAGTGAGATAGGGAGCCTGTACCACAGAGCAGGCACTTTGTACATGTTACCTCATTTCTCCTCACAGCAACCTTACAAGAAGCAGTGTTGTCCCTTTTTTACAGAGGAGGAAACTGAGACTCTGGGAGATCAAACAGACTTGCTCAGGGCCATGGAGTGGCAGAATTCGGCATTTATTTGTTCTTTAACTGTTTTTATTATGAAAACACATCATATAATTTAAAAATTAAGACATTACACAAATAATAATGAACAAAATTTTCTAATCATCCCAGTTACCCAGTCCCACTCCCCAGAGATAATATCAACCATATTTTTTTTAACATAAAAGGAAACATTTTATGTATATTGTTGTTAATCTAATTGAAAATTTTTCACTTGATAAGTATATCTTGGAGATTTTCCTATGTCAGGTCAATCTCCTTCTTTATCTCACTTTCATTTACATTCACAGTATTGAGTCATTAAACTTGCTTAGGTCAGGTTGTTTGTCTGTCAGCCACCCAATTTCCTTCCCAGAAGCAAACCACTTTCTTGCTTGTCCTTCCTCAGATAGTCTATGCATAATTTTATTTTTTCACTTAATAGCACTTGCATTTAAACTTACGATAGGCAGTGGGCAGAGTGGTTAAAAACGTGCACTCTGGAGCCAGGCAGGTTTTGGGTTTGAATCTTGGCTTCATCACTCACTTAGCTAAGAGACATAGTTTATGGTGGGCCTAGAATTCCAGTCAAATGCTGAAACAACACTCACTGGATTCTCTTTCCAGCTGCAGCCATCAAGGGTGTGGGGGCTGTCTTTGCCATGAATTTACTTATGAATAAAATCACCTGTTTGTTACTGGACTTACGCTGTTATTTCTGTTAGTTAAGGCTCAACCTAGTAAAAATAGGCAACATAAAATTGATCATGTGGGCTACTTGAATATAGAATACTAAAGGATTGAAAAAAAAGTCTACTTATAAGAATATCACGAGACTATATATATATATATATATATATACATATTTATATATATATTTTCAATGAAAACACAAATGTTGCAGAAATTGGTGTTTGAAGTTGGGTGTGAAGATTGAGGTAAAAACTTAATAAACCTTCAGGACAGGGACTTCCCTGGCGGTCCAATGGTTAAGACTATGTGCTTCTGATGCAGGGGCTGTGGGTTCGATCCCTAGTCAGGGAACTAGGATCCCACATGCTAAGTGGTGCAGCCAAAAAAAACCTTCAGGACAAACAGCTGTATGTGAATGTGAAGCAAGAAATCAATGACGCACTTGTGTGTTTTTAAACAGCTTCTGGGGTTTAGTGAATTCTGCTTTTTTGGGTAATTAGAGTTATCATAGCATCTCATGGTTGGTTGGTTGGTTGGATTAATCTATCCTCTAGCCTCTACAGTATCCTTCTGAGCAACTCTGACTCAACTCCCTCCACTTTGGCATTTTTCATTTAGTTATTAGGGTGTAGGAGATGTTCTCACTGAATTTCTGCTAACCTTTTTTTTAAAACAGCTTTATGGTGGTATAATTCATGTATAGTAAACTGCACATATTTAAAGTGTATGATGTGATAAGTTTTGACATATGTGAAATCCCTCTTTTGGGATTTTTCTTATGTTTTTCTCATGCTTAGACTGGGGTTATAGATTTTGGAGTGCAAGACCAATGAAGTAACATGCCATTTTCATCACATATCAAGGATACATACTCACAAGACTTTTCACTGTTTATATTGACTTTGGTCACTTGGCTAAGATAATATTTGTCAGGTTCTGCATTGTAAAGTACTCTCCCCACCCCTCCTTCCATATTGTCCTCTTTGGAAGGAAGTCACTATGAGCCCACACTTAAGGAGCAGGGATTATGCTCCATTGCCTTGAGGAGGGTAGTGTCTACATAAATTATTTGAAATTCTTCTGCATGGGATATTTGTCTCTTCTCCCCCATTTATTTATTTATTCAATCGTTTGTTTGTATGTCTTCATGGAGATTTATTTTATACTTTGAGTTAAAATCCAGTACTACTTCATTTATACCTTAGGTTATAACCTACTACTACTTCAGATTGTTCCAGCCTTGGCCGTTTGGGGCTCTTTCAGTTGGTTCCTACATCCCTCCCTTTGATATATCTCCATAAAAGTTTTAGTTTATTTAGTACTTCTGTACTTTCTGACATTATAAGATGCTTCAGTCTTATTTTGTATATTACCTGCTTCAGTCCTAGAATCAGCTATTTCTCTAAGAAGCCCTGATTTCTTTTATTGGAGAATGGTATTAGAAACCAAGATCTGGGCACTGGGTATGCTCTTTGCTACTGGGATGTCATTGCTTTTAGGCCCTCTCAGCTGACAAAGTAAGGAAATATATGTGTGTACCTTAAGTGGTGTATATATACACATCTGTAAATGTTATATAACTGTCTCTACTGTATTAAGCTAAATGTGAATTCATATTAGTGTTTCTAGCTCTAACCCATTACTACATGGATCATTCTAGCCTCCTTCTCTTGCTTATCTGTAAACTTCCACTCCACCAGTGAGAAACTTGGCACCTACCGTCTACCATCCATTTACTTGTTTAATTCCAGTATGCATGTTTAGCAGTATCAGATTTGTAGCCCAAAATTCCCCCATGGGAAACAACTTTATTAACTAAAGTGGTTACATATAGTATCTTTTACCTTTAATTTTACATGGTCAGTCTTTTTAATGTTAGCATTTTTTGTGGCAGTTTATGTAGCTGGAATCCTTAGAAGAGGACATGCTGCCCAGTCCACTGGTTATTTTTAACTCTGTAGCCCTTTCTACTTCAGGCCTTATGTAGGCCAGGTAATTTCTGCTTTTGAATCTTTTTCATCTCTTTCTTCACTAAAGTGTTGGATGGCATAAAAGAGGGTGTGCTGCTTTGATCTTGCTCAGAAAGAAGTCTTCCCATATTTGAAGTCCTCTGCCACAGGTGGTCTCTAAGCCCCTCTGGTCTGAATGCCCATTACTTTTCACTGGTCTGAATAACAACTGACAGTCCTGTTTCCCAGGCTCCAGCCATATTTCCATTCTTGGAGCTTCTTCTGCCCAGCCCCTTCCTTTTAGCCTCACGTAGCCAGCTGCCTCCTGCCCTTGACATGTCCCTCTTGTCCAGAGTCATAGCTCTGGGCCTTCACAGATATCCAGGAACCAGGTAGTATATGTGCCTGTGGCATTGAAAGGCAGTTGTGAAGGCAGTATTTAATTTCCTTTTTATTAGTCTCTGACCCAGCCCTACTAGACTGTAAGCTTCGTGAAGACCATCTGTAGGCATGTTTACTACATGCTTCAGCACCCAGCAGAGTGCTAGGCCTTGGGCCTGATAAATATTTGTGAAATGATGGATGTCTGAGGTTTCATTCACTTGTCCTCTTTTTACTTCTTTGAGTTCTTTTCAAACCACCTTAATCCCCCTTTATTTAACTCCACGTGTTTTGGTAAAGGTCTCTTTGAGAAGAGAATACTTTTCTGATGCCTATTCCTATTCTAACTGAAAGTATTAAAAAATTTTAACCAACTATGGCAGGACTTGGACTATATTTTCTGGTTCCTTCTATCCTCAAGAATTGCTTTTGATTAAATTAACAGCTTCTATGTTCTGTGCTGTTTGATTGTCTCAACTATATAGATCTTGAATCCATGTAAGAGTACTTGATGCTGAGGCCTGCTTCTTTCAGAGTTGTTTAGTTTGGCTTCTGGCACAAAACTGGTCTGAGGTGCTGCCTTTAACTTAACCACTAGGGTTTTGCTGAGCAGGGGCAAACGGTTGGGACTCATATGTTCCCCGTAGTACAGTACAGCTGATCAAAGCCTTTTTTGCCTTGCAGGAATCGATAGCAGGTACAATGAAGGCTGCAGAGAGCTGGCAAATTATCTTCTGTTTGGTTTGTACAATCAGAATACCAGTGATTTTGAGAAAACAGGGTTTTCTGAAGAGGTTCTAGATGGTAAGTATATATTGGTGAACTCTGTGTGAGAGAGGAGTAAGTGATATAGTACTTTGGATTCTTATTTCATGGACTTTTTATGGAAAAATATCAAATTTAAAATAGCCTGAAGATCCAGTATATTTTTGCTTTTTTTATTAATGAAAAACGACATTTCTTCTTTATTGATATGTTAAGTAATATGCTCTGTAGGTTACCTGCTGGATTATAAGAGACTAGTGACAAGTAGTTTTCAGAGTATGTTTACTAGATAAATCGGTTTTAGAGGAAAAAAGTAAACATCAATATTTGGCTTTATATCTTCTTGGCAAGGTACTAGTTTTCCTCTGAATTTTCCATTGCCTCTACATGCTGGGAGGTTCATATTATGTGCCGTTGTCCTATGAAAGCACTCTCAGCTGTGATTCAAGGATAAGCCTGCAGGCTACTCCTGCAAGGAGGACTTCATGTGGATCTTCAGCTTAGGAACAAAGGCTCTTTGTCCTGCTCTGTCTTTGGGAATTGTTTTCTGTGAGCTGTAATTTATGACGATGCCTGTGACTACAATGCAGACTTTCTGCTTACATTCCCCTTTCCTTGGCTCTGAGACACTCACCCTGTGTTCATGCTGCTATGGGGTGATGCCCAGGAGCTATCTCTGATATCACATACTTAGCATTATGACTTGTCTGCCAGGTGGATCAGGAGACACAGGAATAGACAAGTCAAAATGGATGAGAGACAGCTCTTGTGAAGCAGCTGGGGGACGTGTGAAAGCAAACATCTGATGTTGAAATAATCTTGCTGTGGATCTAGTACAGTGGTTCTCAACTGGGGGAAGTTTTATCCCCCAGGGGACATTTGGCAATAGCTGAAGACATTTTTGATTGTCACAACTGGGCAGAGTGGGTAGAGGCCAGAGATGCTGCTAAACATCCTACAATGCGTACACAGGACAGCTCCCCACAACAAAGAATGATCTGGTCTAAACTGTCAGTAGTGCTGAAGGTGAAGAACCCTGGCCTAGTATATGTGAAAATTCTTCTGTAGTAAAGTCCTTAATAGTATCTATCCTTATAGATTGGTGAAAGATTTTCTTTTTATTAGGAAGTACAGAAAGCAGGGTGAAATTATTCCTTCTGTTAATTTTTTTTCAATTCAAATTTAGTTTCAGATTTTGATTTTAAAAAATGCTTTCTTAGACTGTAAAACATACTGGTTTGGAAAGAATTCATCTTGGCAGCTCATTTAGACAGTTACAAAAAGGCAGATACTTGTATCAACCACACATTTCACTGCAGTCAAGGTTGCTAAGGACATTGCAGTACTGAAATTAAGGACGTAGTTTAAATCCTCAGAGGTGCTCCTTTTTGCTTATCTTGTCTTTATCCTGTCACCTAGCACAATGAGTGCTTATAAAGTGAGTGTTTTATTCCAAATTAATAAATTCATTTTTTAAATCCAAGTAACTAGAAAGCTGAGTTCACCAGATTTATCTTCTATATTACAATCCCTAATTATCTGAGAGAAAAAGAGGCAAACACAAAGGATTTATTTTAAAAAGAAACTTTTAAAATAGTTTACGTGCTCTATGCTTTCTTCTTTTACCTGACTGTGTACTCTGTTAAAATTTATTTGTAGTGATGACATCAGTCTTGTGAGATCCTGAGCATGCTTCATTAGGTTTAGTAGCTGTTGCATTATTTCTTTTATTGGATCCTAATTCTTTGAAGTATGTTACACATTAGTATAGAGTACAGTCTATACAGGAAGCCCTCAGTGACATCAAACGCTCACTATTGAGTAGGTGACCTACAGGTGATTCAGGGTGGGTCTCCCAGCAGAATGAGACGGGGCTTCTTTCCCATCCCTTGCTACCTTTTAACTCTAGCACTTAGCTGAGAGTCAGCAGTGAAGAGCCTGCTCCATACTGTGTTGCCTAGAACACCTAGGGTCTGACCAGGTGTGGAGCTCAGAGTGGCTTAAAAGGCCACCATCATGGAGCTTTATTTCATGGGGCCACCCAGCTGTGCAGTCAGCTGAGATCAGTATTCACTGGGCTTATGTTTTTGTAGATTATGGTCCGTCACACTGTGTTACTGTGTTGGCATTGCCCTAAACCTGCTGCCTCTGTTGCTTCCTGCCCCCACGCTCCTCTCTCACTTCCAGCCATCTCCTCTAGCCCCTTCCCTAGTGTCATCTTGTTAGAAAGAGGCCTAATGACTTTGGTTTCTGAGGAGCCGTAGAATGGAGCCTCTGCTTTTCTTCTGGAAGTGTGACTGCTTTCTTTCTCAGTGTTCAAACTCTTTTAATGTTCCTGCCCCGTTCCATGGCTTGTTTGTTCGTTTACTTGGTTTTATTTGCACCTTTGGGATTGCTTTATTTATTTGACCCACCAGCATCGATGGTTATTCCCTAAATCTGTGAGCTGCTGATCACTTGCCTCTACTTCCTTCCTCCCAGCCTTTCCTGTGTACAGAGTTTACATCTGTATACAATAACCCTTCCCAGGTTGCAAGTCAAAGGGTATCCTCGGGCCCACGATTTGCCTTGAGCCAGATGAGCCAGCAGCCAAGAGCTTTATACACTGATGTCTGCAGGAGAACCAGTCACTGGCCATATTTGGTGCTGTTTTCCTGCCTCAGTGGCTTTTACCTGTAGAGTTTCCAATTGCTATCTACCTCCACAGTGAAGTACACAGTTGAGTTTGGTACAACAAATTTTGCTGTATTGAACTTTGTGAAACACCCTGAAGGCTGTTCTTTTGACTTTTCTACCACAACCAGAGGGCCACAGTAGTGGAAGCATAGCATGGGGATGAGGAAATGCTTGCTGTCCACACTTGAGTGTTCTCTAGTCACTTTGAAGCACGTTGCCTAATTAAAGAATTTTCAGTTTAGAGTTTTGTTACATTGTTTCTGTAGTTTTAATGGTTTTACTGATTATGTGGGCGGAAGATGTGTAAAGGAAATGCCTTTGACAATCTTGTGTTTTAATTTTGTTTTTCTTACAGATGTGATTATATTGATTAAATCAGATAGTGTCCATCTGTACTGTAATCCTATAAATTATCGCTATCTTTTACCCTATGTGGCACATTGGAGAAATCTGCATTTCCACTGCATGACCGAAAATGAGGTGAGGAGAAACGATAAAATAGCGCTTAGAGACACTCTGAGGATATTCGTTCAGGAAAATGTATTGATAGAATGGGAACAGGAGGTCCTTAAAGAAATCAAATTGGGGAGTTCCCTGGTGGTCCAGTGGTTAGGACTCCAAGCTTCCACTGCAGGGGGCATGGGTTTGATCCCTGGTTGTGGAACTAAGATCCCGCATGCTGCACAACATGGCCCCCCCAAAAAATAAAAATTTGTGAAATGTGGTTACACAAAAAAGGTTATTTTTTTTAGTGGAACTTTTCATATTTCATTATGAGGCTACCCTAGCAATAAATTATACGCCTGAAAGAGACAAAAATGACTATTAAAATTGGGACCTAATAGTGGGCTTGTGAACCTGCCTTCCTACCCTGCTTCTTTATCCCCGGCCTGGGTCCATTCTCTCGGGCCTAGGAACTGCCCCAGGAGAATTTGATAAGCTCTGTGACATTTCCATGTTTGGATATCTTGGTATTTGTTTCTATTTCCCTTTAGACCCTTTTCAAAGATTTGGCTAGAAATCAAATTGGGACTTAAGATTTCGTGGAAATTGTGACCCAGTGTAGGTCCAGAACGTTTCTTGCCATATGAGCATTTGGGGGACTTTTGAGGGCAAGTTTTATCTCTTGCATTTAGGCCTCTGATCCATTTTGAGTTGATTTTTGTGTGTGGTGTAAGGTAAGGGAATGACGTGTTTCTGACCAGCAAACACTGAAAGTTGCCTTTAAAATACCCTCTTGGGCTTCCCTGGTGGCGCAGTGGTTGGCAGTCCGCCTGCCGATGCAGGGGACGCGGGTTTGTGCCCCGGTTTGGGAGGATCCTGCGTGCCGTGGAGCGGCTGGGCCCGTGAGCCATGGCCGCTGGGCCTGCGCGTCCGGAGCCTGTGCTCCGCAACGGGAGAGGCCACAGCAGTGAGAGGCCCGTGTACCGAAAAAAAAAAAAAAAAAAAAATACCCTCTTGATGGGAATTCCCTAGCGTTCCAGTGGTTAGGACTCTGTGCTTTTACTGCCGAGGAATGGGTTCAGTCCCTAGTCAGGGAACTAAGATCCCGCAAGCCATGCAATGCGGCCAAGCAAAACAAAACAAAACAAAAACAAACAAAAAAACCCTCTTGGGACATTTGGGACAACTAATAAAAATGCACAGAAAATATGGGATTTTGTATGATGTCTCATTAGAGCCTGTTCCCTTTCTATTTCCTTCTTTAGTATGAAGATGAGGAAGCTGCAGAAGAATTTAAAATTGCCAGTTTTGTGGACATGGTTCGAGACTGTAGTAGAATTGGCATTCCTTACAGCTCCCAAGGTGCGTATCTGACAGTCAGTCATTTTAGAACCTTGCTGGGATGGTGTGTGAATCGAATGTCCTTACTTCTCCTTTCAGTGGAGGCATTCAGCTGGGAAACCTGTTGGTCTGTTTTCACTAAAGGCAGAGAGGATCAAGCAGAATGAAATTTGGGAACTTTCCTATGCAAGCTTGTATTCATAACTGAAGTTTCTGCAGCAACACAACATGCTACCAGCAGCAGTCAGAAGAACTGATAAGGGATTTACCATAGTTGCCATCTATGCTATACCACTTATTATACTTGAAGTGTAGATGTGGGGCCTCTTGCTAATAAGAAATAGTAATTTGGGTAGCTGTTAAAAATATGCTGACAGTGAGACTCAAAAATAATGTGTAGGGGACTTCCCTGGTGGTCCAGTGGTTAAGACTCTGTGCTTCCAGTGCAGGGGGCACAGGTTCGATCCCTGGTCTGGGAACTAAGATCCCACGTGCCAACACGGCATGGCCGAAAAAAAAAAGTGTGAAAACAGAGGGAAAAAATGAACAAGCTTAGCAGTGCTTGTATCTTACTTATTAAAAAAACAAAAAAAAAACTTTGCACATTGAAGCTTGTTGTTATAAGAAAAGAAAAATTTTGATTTGGTAATTTTCCCTTGAGGAAGTTGGTTAGCTGTGTTTCTTAAGGGAAAGGAGCCAAGTTTTAATAAATTTGTCTATTAATAAATATATCCACTTAGTGATACAAGTCAGATGTAGTAGGCCACTATTTATTTATTTATTTACTTACTTAGGAAACCAGAATGTGAAAAAATACTGTAGAGAAATCTGAATTTTTGTAACTTGTTTGTGTATCTGTTTCAGTTTTATTTTGCTTGATGAGGCTGTGGTGAACTTGTGAGAAATGATGTCTAATGACCACATTAGATCAGGTTTAGACTGCTATATCCAGGACGGTATTTGATACATGTTGTACTTGATTCCTCTAGGTCACTTGCAGATATTTGATATGTTTGTAGTGGAGAAATGGCCAATTGTACAGGCCTTTGCACTTGAGGGCATTGGAGGGGATGGATTTTTTACCATGAAATACGAGGTATGTATGAAAAGCAGTGTGCCTGGTTTTTGTCTACCACTGGGCTGTTTTTATGAAGGCCCACAATGTAGGTGTATAATACTCTGAAAAGCTGGCAGTGACTCCAAAGGGCATGGAGCAAGTTAAAAGACTTGAAATGGAAAATAGTTGCTATTTAAGGCTAGTCCCCAAACTGAGCTCCTGTGCCCTTTATTCTTGGAGTTCCTCTCTGTCCTCCTTCCTCTCCTTTCCCCATTCTAAGTTCACTGTAGCACCCTAGGCTGACTCCTATGTCACCCATATTTGTCACACCCACTCACCCATTCACCCACCCCTGATCTCTGGATTAGAAGCTCCTTGAGAACAAAAGCATTCTTGTTGTTTGTAGCTCAGAAGTTCGTATAATTTAACTGTTCAAGAGCAATGAAAGGAGCAATGAGAATTTTGTATAAGTACTGTGTACTAGAGGAATAAAAGGGTTAGATTTTATGGTAAGAACGGTATCTTTTATTTCAGTATTCTTTGCATCTAGATGACCAATAAATATTTGTTAAGTGAATTAATGAATGAGACTGGGAGAGGGGATCATCCAGGGTACACATTAGGGAGGATGACCTGGTATCCACCTGCCTCCATAGGATCTGCACTGAAATGACCTGCCCCCAGTACAGGAAACCAGGGAGAGGGAACATTGACATGCTAGAAATGGGGACATACTCTTAGGGATAGAAGTAAGTGAGACCTTTGGAAGCAAGACCCAGGGCTAAGTCCTACCCCCTTCTGAGAAGTAGCAGTGTCCCTAAGAAATGTTTGGAGGCTCACCTGGCAAACCCTGTAATGTAGAGGAACGTGGGCTGTAGGGATGAAGAGACACACACCACATCAGCCCTACTCTTCTTGCTCCAAACCAGTTTTCTCACATTGACCACAGGTAGCAGAACATCAACAAAGCTGTGGGAGCTGCCCCTGATAGCACCTAATGCCCTCTAATTTAGAAGAAGAGGGGCTTGAAAGGAGGCAAGCCATAGGAGGTAGAGAGGAAACTTAAAATTTTTAGTGATAATGGTAATGTTTATTTTTAATTAATTGTATAAACTAGGCATTTATACTGTCTCGTATACGCCAGGCACTGTTCTAAGCATTTTGCATGAATTAACTTTAATTCTTACAATACCCCTCTGAAGTAGGTACTATTACCATCCCTATTTTATGGAAAGTTTAAATGAATTTCTCAAAGTCACAGAGCTAGTAGCCTGTGAGTGGCAGGGCTAGGGCCCAGTCAAGAGAGTCTGGCTTCAGAGCCTGTGCTCCTAACCCCTGGACTGCCACTAGATTAGAATTAGAAAGCAGTGCACTAGGAGGCTGTACAATTCATGCAGCTCAAATGGGGCAGGCCTCTGGCTTCTGCCTTAAGGTGCATCATACCACGAAGTCAAATCCAGGTAATGTAGATTTTTCCTGTAGGGTGGTGTTTTTAGGGGATGGGATGGGCAGTGAGGAGGAAATAGCACACATCATATTGTAATATTTACTACTGTAAGTCTTCTCTCAAGATCCCTTTCTTCAGATCCTGCCCTTCTCTGTAGCCACTAATTTTCATTCTCTCAGATACTTTCCTTTCGTCTCCATCTCATTTCCCTTGACCTCACTTCTCTTCCTTACCCTGTCCTTCCTGGTCGTTTAAGGTATGGAGTAGTTTGGCCTACTGATCAGCTCTGCCATTATACTGTACTTCTCTCTGATTCACATATTAAAGGCCTGATAACTGCCTGAGCCAGAAAAGTTCTTGCCTTCTTTGAAAGCTAGGAGGAGAACTACGGATACTTACATCTTAATTTTTCAAACTTCTTTTTTATTACATGCTCATACCCAGAAGAAAATCCTTAATTCAGAGGATGTTTTCATCCCTGATGTGGTAGGTGCCAGCATGAGAAAGGAAGCCAGACCCACATAGCATTTACTTGGTATTTAGGCTGAGCCAAACTAAGTTATGGATATAGGGAACTCTTTCTTCCTGGAAGCAGTACAGGGAAGTTCCTCTGCTAGGGCTTTCCCTGCCTCCAACTTCCTTCTTACTCTCCAGCTGCTGGAACTGTATGACCTGGTAATGTAAATTTACATTAACTAGCTCCCCAAGGGAAGGATTCTAAAATAATCCTCTGAATAATGAGAATAACTACAGAGTAAACATTCATTCATCTTTTTATGGACACACATAAGATTTTTGTACTGAAAGGTAGGATAAACCCTATGAAAAAATTCAAAAGGTAAGAAAGAGACCATAGCATATTAGATGCAGGGATAGATCAGCATGCTTTTAAAAAATATTTTCTCCAGGAAATAAAATAAAAATTGAGAAAAATATCTCTTTGTACTTTTTAAGAATGCAGTTTGTAAAAAGAGAAATGAGATAGGTAGAGCAAGCAGAATTAAAAAGGGAGGTGGATGACATGAGGAAATATTGTTATGTCTCCAAATTCATTAGTAGAATTAAGATTTGAATTTCAAAATAGAAATCAGGGAGATTGGCCAAATGGCAGAGTAGGAAGACCCTGAGCCCACCTCCTGTCACAAGCACACCAAAATCAGAATTATTTGCAGAGCAACCATCGATGAAAAAAGACCACAACCTACCAGAAAAGACCTTCTACAACTAAAGACATAGGGAACGAACCACAACAAGACAGGTAGGAAGGGCAGACTTGCAATATAGTCAGGTCCTTTTCCCCCAGGTGGGTGACCCACAACTGGAGGATAATTACATTGCAGAGGTTCTCCCACAGCAGTGAGAGTTCTGAGCCCCACATCGGGCTCCCCAGCCTGGGGGCCCTGCACTGGGAAACTGAGCTCCCAGAGCATTTGACTTTTAAGGCCAGCAGGGCTTACTATCAGGAGTCCCACAGGACTGGGGGAAACAGAGACTTCATTCTTAAAGGGCATGCACAAAATATCACACGCCCTGGGACTCAGGGCGAAAGCAGTAATTTGATAGGACCCCGGGCCAGGCTTACCTGCTGGTCTTGGGGAGTCTCCCAGAGAGGCAAGAGGCAACTGCAGCTCACCCTGGGGACATAGACGCTGATGGCAGCCATTCCTTGGGAGCTCCCTTCTATCACGTGGACACTGATGCTAGTGGTTGCCATTGTGGAATCCTCCCTCTAGCTCATTAGCACCAAGACCTGGCTTCAGTTGCCTGTAGGGGCTAGTGCTGGGATGCCTCAGGCCAAACTAACTAGGCAGGGGAACAGCCCCACCCATCAGCAGGCTGGCTGCCTGAAGACTTCCTGAACCCACAGCTGCCTCTAGACATGGCCCTGCCCACCAGAGGCTCAGGACCCAGCTCCACCTACCCGTGGGAAGGCACCAGTCCCAGAATCCTCTGGGCCCCAGCCCTGCCCTCCCAGAAGCCTGCTGCAGCCTTTGGACCAGTCTCACCAACCAAGGGGCAGACACCAGCTGCAAGAAAACCAGACTCCCACAGCCTGTGAATCCAGCCTGCCCAAAGCAGGCCAGACCCTGCCCTGAGACCACTTTGACCCCGGCCCCCTGCCCACTAGCAGCCAAATACAAGCTTCAGGACACCCTGGACCCCAAACCCAACTCTGTCAGGACACACACACACACACACACACACACACACACACACACACACCCCAGTGATCTGACACCAGCTCTGGGATCCCTAGGCCTAGAAACCAGACTCCAAGACCCAGGTCTGCCTCCCAGGTGTCTGGTACTAACTCCAGGACCTGGCTTCACCCACCAGTGGACAGGCAACAACCCTGGAGTCTTCTGGACCCTGACTCTGCCTACCAGTGAGCCAGCACTAGTCCTGGGGCTCCCTGAGGTTTTCCAGCCCCACCAACCAGCAGCCGGCAGCCTCTGCACAAGGCAGGGCCTGGCAACCAACTGGACCAGGCACCAACGAAGCCTACCACATCACCCAGATATTCCTCTACAAAAGAAGGACCCACACAGCCCTCATGGGAGAACCCCTAGAGCATATAGCTTGGGTGACAAGGGGGGGTGCACTGCCGGGATGCATAGGATGTCTCCTACAGAAGACCACTTCTCCAAAGTTGGGAAACATAATTAACCTACCAGATAAATAAAAATACAAACAGCAACTTAGGCAAAATGAGGGGACAGAGGAACATGTTCCAGTCAAAGGAATTAGATAAAACCCCAGAAGATGAATTAAGTGAAGTGAAAAAGGCAATCTTCCCAAGAAAGAGTGCAGGGTAGTGATCATAAAGATGATCAAAGAATGTGGGTGGGGCTTCCCTGGTGGCTCAGTGGTTAAGAATCCTCCTGCCAATGCAGGGGACACGGGTTCGATCCCCGGTCCAGGAAGATCCCACATGCCACGGAGCATCTAAGCCCATGGGCCACAGCTACTGAGCCTGTGCTCTAGAGCCCGCGAGCCACAACTACTGAAGCCCGCGTGCCACAACTGCTGAAGCCCACGCACCTAGAGCCCGTGCTCCTCGACAAGAGAAGCCACCACAATGAGAAGCCTGCGCACCGCAACGAAGAGTAGCCCCCACTCGCCACAACTAAAGAAAGCCCACATGCGGCAACGAAGACCCAACACAACCAAAAAAATAAATTAAAAAAAAAAAAGAATGTGGGTGAAGAATGGGTGCACAGAGCGAGAAATTAGAAGTTTTTAACAAAGAGTTTGAAAATATAAAGAACAGCTAGAGATGAAGAATACAATAACGGAAATGAAAAATACATTAGAAGGAATCATCAGTATATTAAATGATACAGAAGAATGAATCAGTGAGCTGGAAGACAAAGTAGTGGAAATCACTGATGCTGAACAGAAAAAAGAATGAAATGAGGACAGTGTAAGAGACCTCTGGGACAACATCAAGCGCACTAATATTTGCATTATAGGGGTCTTAGAAGAGAGAAAGGTGCTAAGAACATACTTGAAGACATAATAGCTGAAAACTTCCCTAACCTGGAATAGGTTACAGTTATTCACATCCAGGAAATGCAGAGTCCCATACAGG